GCAAAATCAAATCACATTTAATTTAAATGATTTATGTAAGAAAAAGAATCTTTCCAGAATTGTGTTCTTATTATTATGCACAATTTTAAAAATTTAAATAGAAAACCATCCCTGATTCAGGAAGACTGGGCTCACTGGAGGCTGGGGCAGTAGTAATAGCTGTGAGGTTCATGGTGGGCTCTCTCACTCTCCACCAAGACTGAACTCAAGTTGCCTGTCTGGAACTGAGGCACCATTAACAAATCCTTGCAGGGACCATCTTTTGGGGTCTGTTTTCTTCAGTAAGGTAAAAAACGTAATGCCCAATTTGGACAAGAAAATCAGCAGAAAGATAATTGGTTGAAAGGAAATCAAACTGGCAAACAGGGGAGAGCATCTTTGGGTATAATAACTTCTACAGAAGATGTCAGTGGGAGAGTAAATGTCACCTGGTAGCTCTTTACAGCCCTAACTCCAGAGAGGATGGAAACTGCCTACTGATACTAGATTGGAGTGAAAATCAGTTTCCATTGAAAACACACCAGGTCATCACTGCCTCTGATGGTACTGGGTGATATCTCAGCATGGTTTAATGTAGCTGTACCTTTGGCTTGCTGTTTTCTGCCTGTGGGTAGCGAGAGGCATGCAGAGATCCCGACATGTCCCAGGCAAAAAATTGGTATCTTTGCATCTGAACGTAGATTCAAAGAGCAAAACTGTGCCCATGTCCTCCAGGAGAGGCCAGGAGTGACCCCATTCATTGGGGAGTGTTTGGTGGGAATGACAGATGTGCTGAAAGGCTTTTTCTCTGACTTGGGAGTTCAGCTGGGTTAAGACCATGCCTTGGCACCAGCCTACTACCATTCAGTTCTTTCATCAGCCAAACCCAGTCACGTCTCAGAGCCACGCCAGAGCTCTGCAGATTCATGTTTATTCATGAAGGGAACTTATTCTCTGCTGCTTCCCTGATAAGCTTTGACTGTATATTTTCTGTAAGTGTAGATATAACTCAAATAAATGTTCTTTGCACCCCGCTTTGCCACTTCTGCAAAGCACCGTTTACCTGTGCTTCATGCAAATTGACATGTTTTGTGTTTATTAACCTTTTAAAGGGAGAGAAAACGAGGGCCCAAGCTTTGATTCACATTTAGCAGTGACAGTGGAAAAGGTTACCACCTTCTGTAGCTGTGGTGGGGTCTCCTAAATCACTGCAGCTGGGAATCTGCCAGTGCCTTTAGCCACTGTTGTGGTGGCAGCCAGGGATCAAGCATTTCCTACCTGGCTGGAAGAAAAGCCCTATGGTGGAGACCACCCTAAGACAGGCTTCTGAGTAAGAACCTCTTAGACGAGGGATCTCCAAAGCCCAGGCAGCTGTGGTTGGTGCAGCCTAGATGCTTGGCTTGCAAAGAGGGAGTCCGAGCTCTTGGATGTAAAGACGTGAGCTTCAGCATGTGGCTGATAGCCTCCAGCCCATTCATTGATGGTACTCCTTGAGCAGTGCTTCAGGAGCCTGTTTAAAGAGAGAGAGAGTTGGCTGCTAGTAATTACACTAATTACATGCCTTATAGTGAGAGGATGAGCAGTTTGATGTGCTTAGCTGAAGAAAGAAAGGTTAAAAGCCAGCTTCATTAAAGTTGTGAAGGATTTCTCCCTGCAGCCCTCCAGAAGAAGTTACTTGGCTCCAGAGAGCACTTCCTGACTTACCAGGTAGCATCAGGACAAAGCTGAGGGTCTGGAAGTCACAGTCAAAAATTTGAAAAGGGAAAGATTCTTACATATATGTGCATACTTATAATACCAAGAGTTTAAAGAGTGTGCCTGATTATCCAGAGAATTTGTGAATGCCACCATCTTTGAAAAAGTCACACACTTGTTTTCACACAGGGCTTCTTACAACTCACTAGTGATCATTTCCAAAGCAGAGGATAATCCTTAGCAGCGTGCATTCCTTGGTTTGCGGTAACAAGCAAATGAGCAGCACAGTCACATTGATTGAAATGGTATTGAAGGGTTTGCCCAACTGTTTTCAGGATCACAGTATTTATGAAAGGTGCATCCATGGGTCATTTCCACCTTGGATAAGGAAGGATAAATACATTTGCATCCCTCCTGCAGATACTCAGTGCAACAGAGAAAATATTTGTAATTAATTAATGGGGAAGCACTTAGCAATCACCAAACATGATTTGATCATGCAAAACAAATTGTCATCTTTCTTACATCTGTGAAGGCCAAGTGATGTCACAGGGAAGATGGGTTTCCCTTCTCCAAGTCCCAGTGCAGCTGTTTGTACCCTCAAATAGTTTTCTTGGATATTGATCTGTCACAGTGACACAGCTGAGTATTGCCCGCCAACCCTGTGATCTCAGCAGTCTGCCAAGGTAAGCTTTGGAGAAAGACAAATTTCTCCAAGGCTATTTGATAAAGGCTGTCTGTGTCACGATTTGGATGGACAGGCACAAACTTGTGCCTGAAGTTGTAGTGGGCTGACTGCAGGGCAAGCGGTGAGTGCTGAACTCCAACTGCAAAGCATTTTGCCTCAGATCTTCAAACTGTTCCAATTCATTAAAAATGTGAAGGCCTGTTCTTTCCGCCTCACATTTCAAACAAAATTACTTTAAATTATTATTATAAATTATTCAAACAAAGTTATTATAATGTGTTAGACATTAAGCTCTTCTCCTGCCTTAGACCTAGTACGAGTAAATTGTATCTCACTGAACTTCAAATGCTTCAAAATTAGCTAAAGTCAAGTTTCTGGAACTCCAGTATCCATTGACTTCTTCAAGTCCACACCTCCAGCTTCTTCACACGTAAAAGCAGGGATGTGAACTCCATCGTTGAAACCTGAACCCTTCCAGGCAGCTACACTAATAGCATCAGCAAATCTGGGGAGGCAACGAGGAAGAATGGCACTGGCAGAGCTGATGGGCAGATATGAGAGGTCTTTGCAGAAGCAATAGTTACTAAAGGTCCCCTCTGTGTGTCTTGCAAAATCAGTCTTGTGTGTCCTCACCTTATTTTAGTCAGAGTTTGTGTTACAAAAACACCTAAAAGCTTTTTTCATGCACCACAGGTGGTGGTGAAAAATGCTACAATGGAAAAAGATGAGGATCAGAAAAATTCTCAAAGTGCCTAATTCAGAACATTTAAAAAGCCATCTGATACTATCACCTTTTATTTTATTTTGCATTATAACCTGTCCTGGGGTAATGGGCCCATTATAATTTATTGATGCTGATGGAGATTGTAGAACAAGAAAGGTCTTGTCAAGAAATCATCTATTTTCCAGGGGCAGAATATGTAATATCTTAATACTTTTGGAGCTGCTGGCTGTTTGGTAGCAGATAAGTAAGACACTGTAAAAAGTGAGCTTTGCAACTGATATTAGAAATCTGAAAATTGAATTTTAATGAATGCTACAGAAGAGCTTGCATGAAGAAGATACCGTCAGTTATTCCCTTTTTTTCAGGCTGTGATAAACCCACCTCAGGACTTCATTTGAAAAGTTCTGTTTGCTCATGAAAGAATGAAGGAAAAACTTGTAAAATAAATTTGAAAGAGAGCTGAGGGTTCTTTTTCAGCTTCGGAGTATTTTTGTGCGCTCTCTTTATTGATCTGAGACAGCAAGCTGCCTCATTCTGAACAGACTGATGATGACACCAGCCTTTTCCTGAGCAGAAGGCCTAAAAGATTATTTAAAGGGGGAAATTCTGATCAGGATGTCATCACCAAGCACTGCAGCTTGAGAGTGGTTTTCACAGTTCTCTTTACTTGTATGTGGAAAGCATTTTCTCAAGGCTTTTTTCTTCATATTCCAGTTTCTTTTGTTAGGCAGTTGACCTTAACAGCAACACTTTAGTCACATTTGGGGAAGTGTCACAACGTAATGGGACACAAAGAGTAACCCAGAGCAGAGGTGCTATGAAGAAGCAACTGAGGGAGATCTGTTGACAACCCATCTATCTAACCCAGGCAGCCATAAAAGTTTCTGTTGAAAAGAAAAAGAAGAAAAAAAAAATCTTCAAAATTTTAGTAAGAACTCTAAAATATGTAACATGTTGGCAAAAAAAACATCTGAAATTTTATTAATTCCTGTCTGCAGACTCCTTTTGTCTTCAGTGCTAATATTACATTATTCATTACTCTGGTACATGTGTGATATCCTTAATGTCTTTTGAAAAAGCAGAAATAAAAGGACAAAATCAGAGCATATTGCAGCTCTGCAGAAAGGGCATGCCTGGCCATTTTTTCTCCCAGAAAGTATTTATTCAATTCAAAAAACCTTGTAAAATGTTTCATTTTAATAAAACACCATAGTTTCTCTCTAAAGTTAGCTCCATTGGTTGTGCCATCCCTCCTGGCTTAGATAGGGCTTTATACCACCTTGCTCCACCCTCCCGTAGAGAATCACTCCTGGTGACAGCCCTGTCCCTCCTCTGCCTCCAGGATGGTTTTATGCCTTCTCCCTTTTTAAAGAGAAAAATTGCTTCTTGAGAAGGAATTTGACTCCTGATCCCTTGATTGTCATCTGTGTCCCCATCCAACTGAGCTCACCCCATGCAGAACCATCTCATTGCAATGGGGAGAAATACTGGTGACAAAACTTTGGGGAGAGAGGAAAAGGAGTGGGAGTATGGCTTGTGCATCTCAGTATGTTCAGGAGAGGTGTCTTAATGCAACAAGGAGAGATAAGGGCAGGGAAGAGAGAGATTTAATTAAGCATTTCTGCCTTTTTTTATCTAAAAAGGCACTGCTAACAGTTAACTCTGATTTGTCTGGTTCTCTTCTTTCTGTGTCAATTTCTGGGAAAATTACAGGTATCACCAGTGCTGCAATTCAGGGACTGGGGTAGCTGAAAACTCTATGTTTAAACAAAATATTTCTGTAACTTTCCTTACAAAAGGTGCTCGCACCAATGCTCAACGCACCTTTGCAGAGCTGATTTCCTCTGCTCCATACAAGAGACAGCAGAGAGTTGCTTGTTTTTGTTCTATCATCAGCTTTTCTCTTTTCCCCAGGTTGCAGGAGACAATGGGACAACATCACGTGCTGGCCTGAAGCGCAGGTGGGAGCAGTTGTGGTGAAGCCATGCCCAAAGTACTTCAGATTCCTCACCACTTTCGTTGGTAAGACAGCTCATCTCGCTGGAATGGTTTTATGGCTTAACTGCCTGGAGGGTTTCACATCATATTGCGGGTAAAGCTTCTGGCGTAATCAGAGGGAGAACAAATTCAGAGGGACTAAGGATTTGCACGAGGTAAAGAAGGTTCCCAAGCCATACAGGGGTGCCCAAACCATTAAATCATCCTTCCTGTCTTCTTCCAGCACAACATACTACTTGGTGTCATAGGGATGCAAATGAGGCTCCTGGTGAAATCCAATAATATGGATGTTTTGCAGCAAAAGTTTAATCAACATGTGTAATAGTATGTTTGCTGTACAAAATGGACAGTTTAGCACTGCAATTAATTAAGTCTCTGACATAAAATAAACAAGCCGAAACTGTGTGTAATAAAGTATTTTTCCACAGAAATGACTAATTTGGCCACCAGCCAAGAAATTAAGCTGACAAATAATGGGCAGGGAAGGTTAATGGAGAAAGCAGCTTAATACACCGGTTGGCATGTTCTGGGAAGCTTTAATTTAAAACTCAGGTCTCAAGGGCAATGCAGCAACAGGACTCTTTGTCTCCTTCTAGATTATAGTCATTACTTTCTATTTTTATTATAGTAGTCCTGCAGGCCTCCACAGCAAAAGAAGCCTTTTTTTTTTTCAGTGGACATTACGCACCAGGCTGATTAGTCTTCACTTTTACAGAATTATAAACAAACACACAGGATAGGTTATGAACGGGAGTAAGGATACAATATTGTCCCTGCTTAGCAGAGCAGGACACTACATTGATTAACCAGCACAGACTGATTACATGATTTGCCCAGAGCCACATCAAAAGGCTTGGTAGAGCCAGAAGGGAAATGCAAAACTGGGCAAAACCCCTGTGCCTTGGCCCAGCCGTGTGGAAGAATTGCCTGTAGTCGGTGCTTTGTGCCCTCCTCTTCTGAGCAAAACATGCACTTGCTGGGTTTTAGGGACCCAGCAGTTAGTTAAAGAGGAAGAAAAAAATCTCCCTGAGAAGAGTTTGTAATACTTCATTCCACCACAGCAGAACAATGAGGTATGTGTACATATGTATGATACATACATATATACATATACCTATATGTGTCATTGGGATTGCGTTGAACTTAAGCTAAGGGTAATGCTTTTAATAGAGTACTAGCACAGGCTTATGAGACACAATCAAATTGCCTACTCAGAAGCATGTGCTGCTCTCTGAGAGTCTTAGGGCATCTCAGCTAGTCTCCAGGCTCTCTGAAGAAGGGTGCAGCTCTCCCATATCTCTGAATATCTCAGGCACTTAAGGGCATCTCAAAAGACCTGTTTTAACACAAGTATTCCTATTCTGGGAGAAGCCCAGATTCCACCAGGATCAACTAGGACATCACCTGGGCTTTCTGTGCACCTACTGCAATGTGCCAGGCCAGGAGCAAGCCTCAAATAAAAGCCAACCTGTGCCCTTTCTCTGCATACCCATGTTGCTGCCTTTTGAGCTGTCCTGTGAGCAGTGAGCTCAGCAGATGTCATCTGGCCTTGCAGCTGGCAATGTGCAATCATTGTACTTTGGACAATCATATACAAATGTGTAAAGCAGATATGATCATAAATAAAGGCAGGATAAGAGTGCCTCTTGTTTTACAAGATTTCTTGCAAAATTAATGTCATTGAAGTTTGTAAAGCAGTTCTTGCTTTGTAGTAGTATCATTGAATAGCTTTCAAGGAAATCAATCATCTAGCAAATGTTTATGTCCTATGCTTTGATCCCTTTGCAGAATCATGAAAGCTTATACCAAAGTTCTGAGCAATAAAAGATTTTCTCTATACTTACAGCAAGAAAAGGGTGAGATATTGGGGAAAAAAAGAGTTAATGTGATTTTTCCATTTAATGGAGAATATACTCTTCAAATGACTAATATGCTATCTCATGGTAAATAAAGGATAAAATATCTTGTGGCATTTAGAAAACCTAAAATCCCTAGCATAGTCTTGACGTCATTTGACATTAAATTTTTATGTCATTCACAAATACAGAAGATTTTCATTATTTTATGACATTCGTCAGTACCGTGTGAAGGAGATAGATGAAAATATTTTTGGCACCTTTTATTATTAAAGTGCACTACTTGCTATCTCTTCACCAGAGTGTTCCAGGTTTCTTTCAATACATGGAGTATGACATTTGTAATAGAGATTTGTTTCCCACAGTTTCTCCAAGAGCAAATTGTCCATTCTGCACAAGTTAAACAGTAAAAACTAGCACTGACATTTTTTAAGCTTCAGCTATGAGATGAATTGCTTAAGGGGGTGGGGGTGGGAATAGCCAGGATTGCTGCACTCAGCAAGGAAGAGATACTGATGAACTGCAGTTCATCGTTAATTCTACTTATTTCTATATTCAAGTAATCTCAAACTGTCTGAATCCTGCATTTCTGCAGGCGAGCAGTGCCTACTTCTAGAGTTACCAAGGCATGGTAGTTTCCCTGTGCACTTTAATACATGCATGCATTTTCACAATTCAGCTCAAAAAAATCCTTCAATATTGGTCAAATACCTTGAAACAATGCCACCACAGGTATGAGGTATCATCATAGCTTTACCTGTATCATCCCTCCTCTGTTCCAAGAATTCCTGATTTCCCGATTCCCTGATATCCAGTAAAAAACATCACCATCTCATTATTTGTTTTGTTCATCCTCATCACTTTTACACCAAACACCAACTCTTTAACAACGTTAAAAATGTGCTGCCAAACATTGGGTACAGATGATAATGGGAAAAAGAATTTGTAGGCATTGATGGAACCCGTACATTGAATTTACATTTTGCCATATATATTTAAGTGGAGAGGGCACAACCTCACAGGTTTAACCGAACTTTGTGATGCTACTGTCCAGAGTAGCCATTGTCATCAGTGCATTTTTATGTAGATGGGAAGCCATCAGAGATTCTAGCTGGCATTTCCACCCGGCACTGATTCATGGATCCTTCTGATGACGTCTTTGCCATTGTCTTATTGTATTTGGACTTAACCTGTTCTGGCAGTTTGAAGATCTAAAATGATATCATGAGAAGACAATGGAAATTATCGGTTAACTATTGTGACATTCATGCACAAATGATAAAAATAAAAAGTCAATGTAAGGAAGTAGTCAGGAAAATGATATGGAAATTTGCTTAATACACCACAGATCAGAGGTTGTGAACATACCCATTTATTTGTCCACCTGAAACACCTATTAAGTTTCCACATATCCTCTTGAATAAATTAATTTCCTCTTGGAAATCATCATTCCTCAATCCTGTGCCCCGTACTGGTCCAATTCTTGGGCCAAGTTTAGTACCTGGTAGGCTCCTGAGATAAACTGCCATACACTACAGCAGGATACGTGATCCAATGCTCCTTGTGTTCCTCCAATGTACAAGAGGATAGGAAATGGCTTTCCAAAAATCTTACTGCTGTTTTTTAGTCTCTCCCTCTTGCATGTAAGTGACAAGATAGATCTTCTGGTAAATAAAAGGTCTGTCATTCCAGAAGAAACTGGAGTGGCATGGCTCAGTGACACCTGCTTAGCTTAGTAAAACAAACAGTGGGAGTTCTCATTGCAAGAGCAAAATCAAGGGGGGAAAGGAGCACTTGAAGCCCAAATCCAGCACTGGCTGAAAAACAAAATCTGCAAACTGCCATGAAACTGTCAGATTAGAAATTGGAGGAAGGCTCCAATGGGGACTTGTGGGGAAATTAAAGACTGATTTGGAGATATTGTTTGATGATGTTTTAGAGTGGTCAAATGACGTTAAAGATCGGGGACATCCCTAGTACTCTTTCTATAAGATTTCTGATGGACCCAACGCATTTCATGTGCAGTGAGCCTAAGAGATAAAGAGGGAAAGAGATGGGACCGTGTAGCTTGCTGACTACCAGCACAGTGAGGGACTCAGTTCTGCACCTGTTCACCAAATACTCGGTTATGATTTCTGCATTATGAACTATAAAACAAGCCAAGACTTGGTTCGTATTAGTCTCAGGTGAATCTTGAGTTGTTGTCTCAGTGAAATTATGTCCCTTCCTCTGAATGTCGTTACTAAGAATGCTGACCATCTGGCTCAGGCAATTTCCTGGCTTCAAGCTGCTGCTCTCTGTCCTGTTTAGCAATCCCAAATGCTGCATGCTGTGAAGCAAATTCTCCAAGTCATATTTGGCTTTGGCTGTCCAAGGAGGTGATGCTTTTACTGGCTACCTGTAGTCTTAGAATAAGCATAAAGCTGTCTGTGCTTATCACTGACAGCTTTTACATGCACTCACAGTTTGCTAGGCTGATTTCCATGGAGCTCATTCAGAAGGTTTCATGCAGTTTTCCAGGCAAGAATTAGAGTGGGATGAGAGTCATGTCACCAGACTCATGTGGCTGACACCAACTACAAAAATTGGCAGTTGTATTGTACAGCATGTCTAAGGTCCACATTTGTGCACAGTGTTTAGGTTTGCAGTCTTTTCTCTAAAACAGAAATTTGGAAATGACAAGGGTATTTATCAGCATCGATTAATGAAAATAGCAAGCTGTTATTCTTCTACATGATGACTGGGATCTAAAAGTTCCAGGCTGCTTGAGAAAGATGATTCAATCTGGTCATGGGATTTATAAATTCCTGAATTTAAACAAAAGTGTATGTTAATAAAAATGTGTTTTCTGCCTCTTCAGCCTTGCTCTTTTCTGTCTATATTGTATAGTCAGGGTCAGAATAATCTCACCTAATGTCAGCTATATGAAAGGCTGACATTTCATCATTTAATCCCAGATGTGTGAACTTTCTCCTGAAGTCAACAGAGAAACATCTCCAGTTTATCTTGGAGGTGATTCTCTGTGGTTTGAATCAGCCTCTGATTTCCTCACTGCTCTATGGAGTAATTCAGAATAGACACTTAGGATGTCAGCTATAGGGAGACCAAATCTGCTCATCCACAGACTCATAGGTAAAATTTTCTGATTTAGCTAAGTAGTGTTTGTGT